TGAGGCATGATGAAAAAGTTACACATAAATCAATCAAATACTCACATATCAAGCTCCATTAAAGTCCTACTCTTAATTCTTCATTCTAGCATGGAGGTAATCTTGAGTTCTCAAATTCTATGTCTAGAGAATGCAGGATCAGGCAGGTCCTATTAAGCTGGAAAATATTCTAACTTTAAACTTGAAGGTGGCAGACTTTATCTACTCTAGGGCTTCTTAAACTTTTTCCACTCACAACCCCTTCAGTGTTTCTTAAACTGTGGGTCACGACTCCATATCAGGGAAGTTCATAACCAGAGGATAGACTTCCAGATGACAAGATTTTGGGGGGCACAGCATTTCGGGTTCCAATAAAAGGTGAACAAAATTAGTATTTGTGGGAGGAAGTATAACCTTGTCAATGAAATCAAAGGTCCCTGAGGTAGCAAAATGTTTGACTGAATTCTTGAGATACTAAAGTCTTATAACCACTCTGCATTCTTGTCCTCCTTAAATGTAAATTAAGGAGTATGGACTGGATGATCTCTAAGGCTCCTTCTAGCTCCAAAGTCCATAATTCTCTCATTATAATTTCAGATGTTTTCTGATGGAAAAAAAAATTGACACTCTCACTCCAAACAATCAAAATCACAGTAAAGAATGCCAACGATCTCTTTAAGGACTATTCTCTTTTGGGTCAGTATACAGGCTACATGTACTTAATTCTCCTGTACAACCCCTGCAGGAAAAGTTAACCTAATGGACAATCAATCCACATGGCTATTGCACCTTCATTACAAGCAGACATATATTAAAATACACCATGTTGTTAATTCTTATTTTCATGGGCATTCTCTTTGACCTGAATGTTTAAGCATCCACATAAGCAAGGCTATTCCTCCAGGTATTCTCTCATTAACTGAAAGAGCCACACAGAAGCATTTAATCTCATAAAATGGAGCCAGAGCTAGTGAACTACATTGCATTGACATTTCGGTGTTATTGTCTCTTTAAAAAATCCCCTAACCCTTACTTTGCCTACTGTTTTAATCTTTAATGACTGTCATAATAAACTGCAGATCTGTTAAATATCTTTTTATTTGATATTGTCTGTTACCAGTAGATATTAATCAAAGCAAAGGTCTGAACATGTTTGGGAATTTTTCCCCATTTAAAGTGATCCAGGACTAAGTTCAGCCTTCTTTGCCTCCAGTCAGGAAGAACAAAATGTACCCATGCAAGGCATTCAGATACAGAGAAGAAATCATTGCCAATAATTTATGCTAAAATAATAATCACAACAGAGGAAGAGTGACATAGAAGGCTGATATAACAACAATAATAATAGTGATAATATGTTACATTTATACACTATAGCGCTTTCAGTTTTACAATGCACTTTACATATGTTTTCTAATTTGATCCTCACAACAACCCCATGAGATAGGTGCTCTTATTATTTCCACTTTACAGATGACAAAACTGAGGCTGAAGGAGGTTAAGTGACTTATCCTGTGTCATGTAGCTCCTATTAGACCAGGGGTCAAACTCAGGTCTCCCTGATTCCAAGTCTAATCCTCTTTCCACTGTACCAATTTTTCATATTCTCCTTTTGACACCTGCAGTAGGTATATATCTATACTCTTTGTGTATGTACTGATGACTTGATATCTAAACGCACCATATAAATTTGGTTGCCCCTATGACTTTGGATCCACTAGGTTCACAGTTATAAGTATGAGGCCAAACTTTGATAGTAAAATAGACAGTTGAATGCTTGATTTTTAGGTGAGGAAGACTCGAAGAGCTGAGGAGAAGAGGGAGTGTATGGAGGAATGAAAACAACTAAGGAAGAAGTGAAAGGAGTGATATAGAGAAGGGCAGAATAAAAGGAAACTTTGAAGGATAAGACATGGAGGTAGCCATGTTTTTAGAACAATATATCCACACTTATGTTCCACTTTCATGTCTCATCCTGGCACAGAAATAATCAGGGATTCTGAAAAGTTCTGGCTGGTCTTACTAAACAGAATAGGCTTTGAGTCTGAGCCTGAGGTCAGACTCTAGATCTCTTTGGGCTCACACCAGCCAAGCTAAATACAGAGAGATTCATCACCATATTCACTATAGGTTGCTAATTTTTTTGGCATTAGCATTTCTTAAAAACAATCTAGGAAGTCATAGCAGAAAGAGAAATTGAAGAAAGCATAAATGAAAAAAGTCAGTGGGGTGGAGGTGGGAGGAAGCCTGATCCAGGGGGATTTACAAGTAAATTCCATCAAATATTTAAAGATCAAATAACTTCTGTCTTAGAAACAATTTGCAAAATTAGTAATTAGTAGGCACCTCATCACATTCCTTCTATGAGACAGGTTTGGTCCTGGTATACAAATCAGGGAGAGATGCAACGGACAATGAAAACTATAGATCAGTGTCATGAAATGGATATAGATGGGAAAATATTAAATAGAACATTTATGAAATGTTTACTATATGTAAAGAATTGTACAGTACAGATGCTTGGTACAAAGTATATCAAAGGAATAGAAAACACTTCTGTCTTCAAGAAATAGTTGGTACTACTGGGATGGGAGTCAGGCAATCTCATTTTGAATCCCAGATCTGCTGCTAAGAGTTGAACTGTATACTTGCCTTCAATTTTTTCATCTGTAAAACGACAGGGTTGAACCATATCATGTCCAATACTTCTTCTAGCTCTAAAACACTATGAACTATCTATAGACCATGGTCCTTTTGTTTAATAGAAATATTCAGTAGTAAATATGGTTAATGTATATTGTTCAGTAGAAAAATGCCATAATAAATATTGTTCATTTATATTATTTAATAGAAATATTCATTGACAAACATTAATTTATATTCATATTTAGTTGCTATAACATTGAAAATTATAAATAATCAATATGGTACTTTTAAAAGTCATAAACCTACATCTCTTCCATGGCATTTAATGTATTTGATATTTTCTTCCCTGAAATACTAGTGCTTATTATGAGGGAAAAAGAAATAGTCTTCTGTTACTCAATCCTGATGAATTGAAACTTGTCTCTTCTCATTTTCCCATGGTGATCTCATCTACTTCTGTTTTAATTATCACCTCTATGCAGATGATTCCTAAATATCTATGTCTAGCTCCAACCTCAGCCCTCAATTTGTATCTCCAGTCACCCAGTCTTGAAAACTTAGTCATCTTTGACCACTTGCCTCCCTAACTTCCTCGTATCCAGTCAACTGTTGAAGTTCTGTGTATATCTACATAATATGTGATACAATATCTCCACTGTCTCGGATCCAGCTTTCCCTCTTCCTCTTCTTTCCAGTCTCATTCTGACCACCCTAATTGAGATCCTCACCAAGTTGTCTTGGTTATTTTAGTGGCTTCCTAACTGATCTCCATGGCTCCAATCCAGCCTCCTCATTGCCACCAGAGTAATCTTACAGTGATTTACTCTTTCTTAAACCTGCATTAGTTCTTCATTGCCTACTGAAAAATAACCAACCTTCTTAACCTGACATTAACAGTCGTCCACAATCTACTTCAAATTTCCTTTTCTAACCTCATTTCACATTACTCCCCATCATCTTATTCTGGACTATTTAACATTTCCATTGAATTTTGTTTTCCCTTCCCACCTTTTGTCATACTGTCTCCTAATGATTGCAACGAAATATGCCTACATCTCTGCCTGTAGAAATCCTTATCTTCCTTCCAGGTCCAGCTCAGGCACCACTTCCTTCCCTACCCAACAAGTGATTCTCTACCCCACTTTGAATCTCTAATACTATTCTCTGCTGTACAGGAAGGTCCCGATTAGTACAGATAATGAGTCGTCTGAAGTGTTTAAATCATTCAGATTCACACTACATATTTTCATTGGCCTGGACCAAACGACTTTATTTTATATAATTGTAATAATAATTAAAATTATTAATTTTAATACATGCAAACACTTCAAAGGATTCATCATTCACACTCTTCAGGACCTAGATGTCTTCTTATCCATACTTTAGCCTATTTTATGGTTACTTGTACATGCTTCTTACCTCTTACTAGTCATAAACTTCTGGAGGGTAAAATGTTTATCTTCCATCTTTGTGTCAGCTAGCATACTGCCTTGCAGAAAGCATATGCTTAATAAAACTGTTGAATTGTAAGCACACTTCTCGTCTCCCCCAAGCAGGGAGGTAAGGACATCTCTTTGGCTAAATAAAGAGGATGTCTCTACCTTAAAAGGGATCAGCTGTTGCTTTTGTGTGTGTTCAGATCTGGAAATGAAAGACACAAAGTAGGATTCACAATCTCAGTGGTAAACTCTCTAGCTTATGCTAAGCCAGAAGTATATTCTAAATTATTGGGAGTTGTACTAAAACTCTGGTACTATGACACAAAAAATGAAATTATCTTCAGCCTCCTTGTAATCTCACAAGTGCAATTGTCTTGCCTTTCTACATACAGTATTTATATTGATAAACTGAGAGGCTTAATGTGAGCATCTTATCATAAAACCAAACATCTCCTCTATCACTCCAACATATTTACAAAACAAAACTAATTAAATCAAGTAAAACTGTCTCTTACATTCTTTGACATAACATGTATGCATTATTGGAATGTAGTCTTACAGAACTATTGCAGTCCATAAAACTTGCCCTACCATATTCTTTCTTCTCCCATAGGCTCAATTCAGGTGAGACTGAGAAAGGATTTCTGTTCTAATAAAGATAAGAGTGTCCTTCATGCATGTGCTTTAGTCTGAGCTTGGATATTGTCATTGTTTTATTAGAGAAATGGAGCACATAGGTGGATTAGGAAATTCAAGGGATTGATAATGACAGAAAAGAGATTTGTAAGGTTACTCTGTTTTTGAAAGGAAGCAAAGGAAATGTAACATCCTTTTTTTTCCCCAGGTCAACATGAAAACTGTTTATATAAGTCTTTTATAAGTCGACTGTTAAATATTTCCCATGTCACAATATTGTGCTTTGTTTTACCTTCTCAGGAGATGACCCATTCTTGGCCTCCACCTCTTTCTGCTATTCACACACCTGGTAAATTAGAACCAAGCAAGTTTTCATTTCCAAATAAGGTGAGACTTTACATAATTCAGAAGTCATATGCAATATATCACTGAGTGCTATATTTTTATGCTCTAATCTTTGCTATTTCTATATAGGTAGTAGTATCTATTCTTAAATAATATCACAGGCATACATTTATCCACACCAAAACTGTAAAACTTGAAGCCTTATTTATTATGTGAAATTTGCTGGTACTGGTGCAAAATATTATGAGTACTATTATTGTTAGCAAATCTAACAGCATAATTAATAGTTATTCAAATAATTACTAATTACTAATCTCAAATAATGGCTAATAATAGCTAGTTTTTCTATAGTGCTTTAAAGTTTGCAAAGTACTTTACAATTATTATCTTATTTGATCCCCACAACAACCCTGTGAGGTAGGGGCTTGTTATTATCCCCGTCTTACAGATGAGGAAACTGAGGCTGAGAGAGTTTTAACTCACTTGCCCAGGGTCACATGCTTAGTCAGTATGTGAGGCCACGTTTGAACTTGAGTCTTCCTTATTCCAGTCCCAATTCTCTATTTACTGTACCACCAGCTGCCTGCCATATGTTTATATGAATATTGCTTTCAAAGTCACATTCGTAGGAAAATTTTAACACGCTTTTATTTTCTGATTTCTTTGTTTCTATTTTCTGCATGAACTTTGCACTAATTTTAGGGTTTTCATTTTTGTATATGTGTTGTGTTTGTGTATATACATCCACACACGTAATTGAAAAAGACGGTGTTGTACAGTAGATAGGTGACCAGTGTTGAAGTTAGGAAAAGTTGGTTTCATGTTCTCTTTTCTGATATATATTAGCCATGTGTGTGTGTGGGGGAGAGAGGCAGAGAGAGAGAGAGAGAGAGAGAGAGAGAGAGAGAGAGAGAGAGAGAGAGAGACAGAGAGAGAGACAGAGAGAGAGAGACAGAGAGAGAGAGAGAGAGACAGAGAGAGATAGAGAGAGAGAGAGAGAGAAGAGAGAGAGAGAGAGAGAGAGAGAGAGCGCTTCCTGACCAATACACATCAGTTATTTGTCATCTATAGTTTTAAAGATTTGCCCAAGGGTCCTGAGAAGTTAAGTGACTTGGCCACAACTAGTCAAGGTAGAGTCAAGACTTGAAATCTGGTCTTTTTGATCCCAAAGCCAGCTCCTTCTTTGGAATATCATAAAAAGATATGTACAGAATTAATTTTTTTGTTGCTTTTAACATTTTGCTTGACTTTTTCAGACTTTTTTATGCTCTAAGTCTGATTTAAGACTTTAATAAGGGCTTTTGTTTAGTTATTTCATTTCTGCTCAAGAAAGAAGAAATCTGTTTCATTGGGTTTCCACCATCCCCTCTAGCTTCCCCTCTGAGAGGGGTAGCTAGGTGGCCCCAGTGGATTGAGTGCAGAGCCCGGAGTCAGGATGACCTGAGTTCAAATCCAGCCTTAGACACTAACCGTGTGAGCCTGAGCAAGTCACTTAATCCCTATCTGAGACAGAGAGAGACAGAGAGAGGATATTTTTGTGGCTTTCAAAAAGATTTGTATTTTATTGAAGGAAAGCTGCAGAAAAAAGTCCACAAAATTAATTTTAAAGTTTTTCATGAAAGAATCAGAACCATGAGTAATTTTTATATATATTTTATATGATTATTTCTCATTATTATAACCATTAACACAGGTATTCTAATCAGTTGTCAAAACCTAATATAACCCAGAAAATTTAAAGATAAAAAGGTACTTTATTATTGTTATAATAATACCACTATATACAGTAGATCTGGCTATGTCCATATTATAGCAAATGGAGCTTTCAGAGCCAAATAAAATGGATCATGCAGTTTGAATCTTAATTGAATTGTACCAATAAAACATTTGATTCAACTGTATTGTTGACACTACTCTTTCTTAATGAGGTTTTTTTTTAAGTTCAATTGATTGATTGGTATTCACTCAGAGGATGTAAAACTGTCTTCCTACCTTGGCCTTTCACCCCTGCTCTCCAAGGAATTGGCTGGAATGTTGGCAGATGGACAAAGCGTCCAGTGAACAGAGCAATTCCTAGAGAGTATAGTGAATTGGGGTGAATATTCCTATTACTGAACTCTTAAGGAGCCGGGATTGGTGTAGGAAATGAGCTTAATGGTTGTGGGAGGGCAAAAGAGAGTGTTATAGGATGATATCTAGGACTGGGGCTAGCTGGCTAGCAGCAACCTTATACACACACACACATGCTATATAGTGAACTTTTCTGATGCCACCATATCACTGCCTAGGCAATATAATAATAGTGGTTAGCATTTCTGTAGCATTTTGGACTTTGCAAAGCATTTTACTTGTGTTATCTCATTTGATCTTTAACCCTAATCAATGATCCTGAGAATTAGATGCATTATTCCTGTTATACAGGTAAGGAAACTGAGGTTAACTTGGCCAGGGTTACACAGCTAGTATAAGTCTGAAGCAGGCTGTGAACTCAGGTGTTCCTGAATCCAAGTCCAATACTCTATACATTGAGCCATCCAGCTGCTGTCCCTGTCTCATGCAAGGCCTGAAGTTCTGAAGCTATCTCATACCAAAAGACAAATCAAAACCCACTGGCCTGTTTGACCTTTTCAAGTAGGGGACCCTAAGGCATGGGAAGAACTGGGAGTCTTCTTGTAGTATAGGCTGAGGTCTTTCAGGACCAGATAACATGGGCCCAGGGCCATAGCAAAAATATCAAAACAGAATCAATAAAGAACAATAGTTAAAAGGTAGGTAGGTAGATAGATAGATAGACAGACAGACAGACAGAGTGAGGGATGTCACCCTTCACTGGCCAATGGAAGCATAGCAGTGAGGTACCAGAACTGGGATAGGAAGAGCAATCTGAGACCAAAGCAAGGGTCAGCAAGACTGGAAATAATCAGATAGAAGGAAAGATGCGAGGTTGTTAAGAGATTTCCAAAATATATCACGTTCAGTGAACTGAGATTCCCTGTGAGCTTTTAAAGTTGGGCTCTGTGAAATTAACCCCAGCCCCCTATGAGAAAACTCCAGTTCACCTTGCACAGCCTCTGGAATGAGAGGCAGCTGTGTTAGGGACAAAAGCAGGAACATCCACTTATTGGTGTAATAAGTTGTTTTTATGACATAAGATTTTTAAAAATCTCATTTAGGTCTCAAGAAACATTAAGTGGATATGATTAAGTACCAGGCTGAAACTGCGACATGTGAAGGGCATCACCTGTTGTCTGTCAATCACTAAACATTTATTAAGTACCTGCTATGTGCCAGGCACTGTACTAAGTACTGAGGATACAGAAAAAAGGTAAAATACCATCCCTGCCCTCAAAGAAGTTCACAGTCTAATGGGAAGATAACATGCAAAAAGCTATGTAGAAACAAGCCAAATGGAGAATGAGCTGAAGGTGTGAGATAATGAGAGCCTGAACTAGATTGGTTGCAGTATCAGAGGAGAGAAGGGGATGTATATGAGAGATGTTACAAAGGTAAATAGGCAGGACGTGGTAACGGATGGTGGGTGAGAGAGAGTGAAGAGTGAAGAGTAAAGAATGACAACTAGGTTGTGGGTCTTGGTGACTGGGAGATTAGTGTTGCCCTCAACAATAATAGGGAAATTTGGAAGGAAGGAATTTTTGAGGGGAAATATAATAAGTTCAATTTGAGACATATTGAGTTTAAGATGTCTGTAGAACATCATCCACTTAAAGATGGCCAATAGGCAATTTGAGATGTGAGAATGGAAGTCTGTAGAGAGTTTAGAGCTGAATAAGTAAATTTGACAATTTTCAGCATAGAGGTAGATGATTGAATCCATGGGAGCTGATTTGAGATCACTAAGTGAAATAGAGGGAGAAGAGAAAGGGTCCTAGGACAGAGCCCCATGGAACATTTTAGAGACACAGATGAAGAACAAAGGAGATTGAGAACAGGAATTCAGATAGGTTGGAGGAGAACCAGGAAGAAAGAATGTGGCCCCAAGAGTACAATGAAAACCTAGATGAAAGAGATTATCAAGAAGAAAAGAGTGATCAACAGTATCAAAAACTAAAGAGGGGTCAAGAAGGATGAGTGTTGAGAAAAGGTCGTTAAATTTGGCCATTAAGAGAGCCCTAGTAACTTTGGAGAGAGCAGTTTCTATTGAAAGATGAAGTTGGAAGCCCGACTAAAGAGTTAAGAAGAGAGCAAAAGAAAAGGAAGTGGAGGCACCTACTGTAAAGAGTCTTCTCAAGGTATTTAGTCACAAAAGGAAGGAGAGATAGTGAGGATGGACAGAGCAACTGAAGCTGTTTGGAGTGGGAAGACATGTTTGTGTGCAGTAAGAAAACAGCCAGTAGACAAGAAGAGATTGAAGATGAGTGAGGGAATAGAAATGATAGGGGAATCTGCTGGAGAAGAGACAGTAGAGTGGGATCACTTGTGTATTTAGCAGAGTTTGCCTTGGCAAGGGAAAGGGCAACCTCATCATGTGAGATAAGAGTGAAGGCAGAGATAGTGACAGAAAGCATCTAGTAGTGTCCCCCAAACTCCTGCCTCATTACTTAGCTTTTCAACGTGCTCTGTCTCTCTATCTGGTGTCCCACTAGTACAAAATTCCTGCACGTAGAAGTGGTGTAGAATGAGAGAGCTTTCATTTTAAATGAGGAAATCAGATTTCAATGAGGCATCTTCCAGACTGCTGAGGGGATTTCAGTGGTGTTGTTTCTCCCTGCCTCTCTCTCCTTTTGCTCGTAGAGAAAACTAAATGTGTTTTTTATCAAAGTGTAGTAACGCTTCACATTTTCTCTAAGGCTCCTCCCTTCCAAGGAGTTTGTAGAATGTGCTGCTAATTCATCCCTTACAAATAGAGTATGACCATCATTAATTTTCACACATAATGCACTTCTTTTAACCTGTATTTCAACTAATTAGTATCCTGACAGCTTGAGACTTGCAATTTATTAATTAGGCCATTAAAGTTTCAAAGGCTATCACTATTGTACTATATGGGAGCTGGAATCAGTGAAGAAATTAGAGGGGCATCG